CCGGTCGGCGTCTGTATTATGCACACGAACACCTGGCAAAACCTCCCAAAGGCCATGCATTAGTAAATGGAACACAGTCACACATAATTAAGTTTCCTTGTAAAGCAAAGCTCTTCGTATGACAGGCGTTGCAAACACAAATATTCCTAAGTACCTGACTCACTCTCCCTCCACCAACACGCTTTTCCGCACCTGCTCCGATCTGACCTCCGCGAGATCAACTACCAACCTCTTCTTTATCTTCACCTATCAGTCTGTAAGATAGCGCCAAGCACATGGTGGGCTTTTGTGTTATTTTCTTTCGGGGTGAGGTGTTGTTAGTGTTGGCAATATTCTTTTGTAGGTACTATTTACTCACAACACATCTGGGTAATATTATGTGTTAAATTTCCTACGGTGATAGTGTAATAGATTCATTTCATAACATACGCTGCTAACCCCCTCCGTAATTTCCCTAGTAATTGCTGCTACTCTTAATTAAGTCTTACATGTTCTAGAGATCCTTGAATAATTAATACGCGTCCACTTTGATCTGATATATCGTACAGTCTCCTGGGAATTTCACCTTGGCGATTAGCACAGACTCCCAGCGTCTGCGTTCCCGGCCGCAGCAAGGCTTCACAGGCAATGTAATTTCTTGAAGTGCTCCCTCCTTCCCAATAGACAGCCAAAATATTCCTCCATCGTACTCCCCCCCTCGTGGAACCGTCATCAGCAGAACCAGACCCCCCAGCCCTACCCCATGCCTTGTAGTGGCCAGCTCCACCAGGAGTAAGCGAGGCGCGTAGCTCGGTTTCCAACAATAACTAGCCTTTACAGTACTGCCAGCGCACGAGATTATGAGTCTTATGTCCACTACACAATGATAAAGTTTCAGTTTAGCTAAGAATACCGCATGGAGGTGCATATGCACCCTCACACGCACACAGATACACATTTGTCCATATACTACCTATGTGTGTATGTGTAAAAGAGTGCCGGCACTTCACCTTTAAGAATAAATAAGAAAAATGGCAGAATCACAAAAGCAAGTCATCTTTTTCGTTGTTACCCGACGATTTCTCCCTCCCTCAAGATCTCCTCCCACCTCCCTCTCTCTCCCCCTACCCCCCCTCGTTCTCTCCCTACCCTCTCTCTTACTTTCTCTCTCTCCCTACGCTCTCTTTCTTTCTCTCTTTCCTTCTTTCTCTCTCTCTCTCCCTACCCTCTCTTTCTCTCTCTCTCTTCCTACCCTCTCTCTTTCTTTCTCTTTCTCCCCACCCTCTTTCTTTCTTACTCTCTCCCTACCCTCTCTCTTTCTCTCTCTCCGTACCCATTCTCTTTCTTTTTCTCTCTCCATACGCTCTCTCTTTCTTTCTCTCTTTCCTTCTTTCTCTCTTTCCTTCTTTCTCTCTCTATCTCCCTACCCTCTCTTTCTCTCTCTCTCCCTACCCTCTGTCTCTCTCTCTCTTCCTACCCTCTCCTCTCTCTCGCTCCCTACCCTCCCTCCCTCTCTCTCTCACCCTACCCCTCTCTCTTTCTTTCTCTCCCTCCCAAAGACAACGACCACTGTTGGCCAGCCTCCCACCCGACCCAAAAACACAAAGAACTGCACGCGGCCTTATCTGAAAACGATTCCCGGTCCAACTATCATGTACGCTTCTTCTGTGACGGTAATTAACATGCCTCCCCCTCCCCCTCCCCTTCTCCTACCCCTACCCCCTGCCCAGCCGAAGCCTTCCCTTGGTGATGAGGGAGTGGGGGGGGGAGGAGAAAAAGGGAGGAGGGGAAGGGGGGGGGGGTTATTCAGTGTCATTCGAAGGTGACTCATCGGAGCCTGGCATCCACGTGGCAAGTAACTCCCTGGCTGACGTCACGCACGCGCACGCGCACTTAACCCCTGTTGAACATGATCCCACGATCCCGAACAAAAACCTCCGAGACCGAAAAGCTTTACTGACCGCAGGGAGAGAAAGAAAGGAGGGGGGGGGAGACGCAAAAGAAAAAAGAAAAAAAAAAAGAAATACATATATACCAGCTTATAGAATCTCCTCAGTCTCATCATTTCCAAGAAAAGACAGAGGGAGATATACAGAAAGGAATATTTCTGGAGTCGCCATAACACAACTTAAAAAGTCTCTTAACTAAACCACCAGCCTTTGTTCTTAATAAATGCATTCACATGGAAATGGGGTTTCGTATACCATTATCTGCTTTTCCAGCTACACAGTAATACTTCCCTCTGGTTCTACACTATTATTAATTTCTAGAGATACTTTAAGTGAGACGTTATATATATTATATCATATTATATATATATATATATATATATATATATATATATATATATATATATATATTTATATACATACTTATATATCATATACATTTGTATATACGATACAAATATTCATATATATATATATATATATATATAATATATATATATATATATATATATATATATATATACACGCACACAAATAAATAATTCTTCTAACCTCTGTCCAATATCTCCTGC